GGGGGAGTCGGGGGAGACTCCGCGGCGAAGGCCCAAGCGCCCCAAGCGGGACTCGGCGAGGGCGGGGACAAGTTGGATGACTGAAGGGTTGCCTGTCCGCTACCTTTGGGGCTGAGATGGGATGGGGTGGGAGCCCACAGGTGACACCCGCGTGCATGTGGGTGAGGCCTGCAGCTGAGGGGTCAGTGTGTGTGGCACGTTCCTGCTCAGCCACAGTTTGTGAGAGAGGAGGGAGAGGATGCTTCTCCTCCCAGGGAAAACGCCTTGGCATTCCTGGAGCCAGCTGTTAAATGCATCAGGAGTCACTTCAGTGGACGCTGGAAAGAGCTTCCTAACCAGTGGAGGAAGGAGGAATTAATACAGTGGAACTAGAAGCCAGGGGAGTTTATAATCTCCGGTGAAGATGATCTGGGATGATTTAGCTATAAATAGACTATTCCAGAGACAGGGACCATATGAAGGACCCCCAGATAGCCTCCAGCTAGTGGGCCCCTGGCGGTGCTCCTGTGACAGTCCCTTTGTCCCCTGTGTTGCCGCCCCAGGCATGGACAATGTGGAATACCAGTTTGCAGTGAACAATGACACGACAGAGCTACAGGTTCGGGACCTGGAACCCAACACGGATTATGAATTCTACGTAGTGGCCTATTCTCAGCTGGGGGCCAGCCGCACCTCCACCCCAGCGCTGGTCCACACACTGGACGATGGTAGGGCCTCTGTACCTGCAATGGGCACCTTGGGGTCCAGAGAATTCCCTGGGGATGGTAGTTTGGCTTCGCTTTACTAGTGAATGCCAAGACACTTTTATCTGCCTTGTGCCATCTCTTATGCCCTAAAAGGGGTAGGCAAAGGTTCTTTTTCCCAATTTACAGTTGGGGAAACTGAGGCCCAGAAAATGAGAGTGACTTGCCCAGAGTCAGTGGGACAACTGGGACTTGAGATCTCAGCTTGTGAATCCCTATGTCATGTGGCCCTTGACTCCCACATACCATCCAGTCAGGCAGGGACCAGTGACTTTAACCCACTGGATATGGAAGATTGTGCCCTAAACCTTTTTCAGGGTGGGAAGGATGTCCCCTCCTCTCCAGCTTGGGGCTCCCCTGAGAGGCTCCCTTTCCTCCCTCAGATCCTGGTCCTACTTCTGACTTGCTGTGTGACCTGGGCAAGTCTCTGACCGCTCCTGGGCCTCACCTTCCACGTCGGTGGAGCAGAGCTCATGCTGATGTTCTTCTGTCTCAGTCCCCAGTGCAGCGCCCCAGCTCTCCCTGTCCAGCCCCAACCCCTCGGACATCAGGGTGGCGTGGCTGCCCCTGCCTCCCAGCCTGAGCAATGGGCAGGTGGTGAAGTACAAGATAGAGTACAGTTTGGGAAAGGAAGGTGAGTGGAGGCAGGGTGCGGGCTCCACCTGGGGGGAATTGTGTCTGTGAAGAGTTGGTCAGAGCCTCTGAGGACCTGAGTTGAGTGGTAGGCAGCCCGGGGGATTAGGGAAAGGTGAACCTGGAAAAGAGGAGTGTGGGCTAGGGTAGAGGTGGCAGGAGTGAAAAGAGGGCTCGCTCCAGGCAGGGGGAGGCCTGGGTTCTGGCCTCAACTCCTTTACAGTGTGTCATCCTACTGAATCTGCCTCAGTTTCCTTATCTGTGAAATGAAGCAGGTGGCCTATGTGATCCCTGGGGCCCCTTCCAGCTCAAAGAGCAGATGAGGGGTAGGGAGGTGTGTGTGTGGGGGGGTGCTTGTGGGGTGGGGGAATGGAGCATTGGGGAGGGTGTGTTAGGGCAGATGTCAGTGATCTAGGGCAGGGGTTTGAAAGGGATTAAGAGGAGAAGGCACGTGGCTGGAGGGCCAGAGTGAGGATGAAGAGGGAGGGAAAGGTGAGGCTCTGGAAGGCAGGTGGTGTCTGATGGACCTCATAGCCAACCCGGGTGCT